CCGCTTGGCCTCGGAGAGGCCGCGCGCTGCGGGGCAGATGGGTCGGGTCCGCACCCTCCGCTCCTGGGGGAGGCTTCCTCCTCCCCCCCCCCCCAGGGCCGTGCGAGGCGAGTGCAAGCGCCAGGATTTGTGTGCTACGACTGTACGTTCAAGTCTGGGATGACAGAACTATGTAAATGGTAAAAATGATTTGGGATGTAAGGAAAGAGCGATACGGTCGCGGCTGGCTCCTTGTGGGCGGGGCGGGCGCGCTGCCACGGCCTTTTATACGCCGTGGCTCCTCCTCGTCGTCCTCCTCCTCCTCCTCCTCCTCGTCCTCGTCCTCCTCCTCCTCGTCCATATCCTCCTCCATATCCTCCCCCCTTCCCCCTTCTCTCCCTCCCTCCCACCTCCTGTTCCTCTGCTGGCGTGCGCGGGACTCGCGCACCATGAGCTCGTTGATCCGGACCCGGCGCACGCCCTCGCAGTCCCTGGCGCACACAAGCGGCGGCCGTTCCCAAGGGGAGGAATGTGCCGGCCAGGGCCTTCCAGTTCCTTCACCTCCTTCGTCTCCTCCTCCCCGCCTTCTCTTCACGAGGCATTTGGTGTGCTGACTTTTTCATGAAGAGGGTCTGTGGAAACCTCGACCCGTTCTTTCCCCAAGGGTGGCTTCAACCCGGGTCTGTTGTGCACGCCCCCGGGGCCCAGCGAGGGTTCCGAGATGCCGAAAACGGCGAAGAATCGTCCGTCGTGTTTTTCCGACCCCCCGCCACCCTCTCCCCGACGTCCTCGAGCCCTCGAGCCCCCCTGCAAAAGGCGGGTGCTGGACGCCGTGGAACACTTTGGCGGGCGCGTCACGGTGGCGGACGTGGTGTCCCGGGGCGTGCCGACGTCAGGCTCCGGCTCCCTGTACGGGAGGGAGGTCGTGGGCATCGTTGTCACGAGCGGCGCAGCGGACGCGTCTCTATCCACGCCCTCGCGGATTGGACTCCGGGGCGGAAATCCTGTGAACACGCGGTCACAGGGATACGCTCCGCGCGGGGCGCCTGCGGGGGAATACCCCGTGCCCATTGGGTCGCGGCCCAGGGGCCCGGCCCTCGAGGCCGCCGTGTTCGGCGGGTCCCACGTATTTTGATTCGTTTATGCATGCTTACGCAATCCCGCTGCTCCCGCCTCTTGCTGAGCGCCCTAACAGGACCCCTGAGCAGTTCTTTGAGCGGGGGGGCCCAACAATCTCTTGGGAAGACACGGTCTACACGGATGAGGCGAGCCAAAGCATGGAGGCGCCCGAAGTGGCCCGATGTGCTTGGGCCATCGCGCAGCTGGACCCTGCTGGCCGCCCTTCCGAGGCCCGTTTTGGAAACCTCCCAGGGATTCAATCGGTTCCTGGGGCCGCCCGATACGCGGGATTGCAAGCTGCTTAGGCCTCGCCTGCGGCCACTCGCATCGTCAGTGGCCACCTCTCGTTTGTGCAGGAGGGCGCCCGTTGGAGCAGGGACGAGGCGTCGGCCTCTGCCAGACATGCTGAGATTTGGCGTGCCATTGGAGCAGAAATGGCCAGGCAGGGCCGAGCCCCGCCCAGTTTCGCCTGGACTCCCTCGCACAAAACGCCTGAGGAGGCGGCTAGTCTCGGGGTGGGGGCTTGGGCTGGTTGGGCAATGCTTGAGCTGATGTTTTCGCCGCCGTGTCTTTGCGCGTTGTCACCGTTCGCCCGAACTTTGGAAACGGGCTCGATGGGCAGGATTGCAGAGGCAGTCAGCCGTTCTAAGTTTTGTTGCTTGAACTGGCTCCATGGTCTTGAGCTCTAAAAGGTGGATGCCCCGTGGGGAGGAGCCCCGAGTGCCACGCCCGCCCCCTCAGCCGCCATTAGTTTCGATCAGCCAGCATGATTTTGTTCCCGACGGGAATGGCATCCGCTGTAGATTATGTAACAGAGCTGCCTACGCTGATAGCACCATCCGAGGGCTCTGGAGTTGGCCGTGCAAGGCCACCGAGCGCACGAAGCTGCGGGCAAACGCAGTGCTGGCCAGCGAGGAGGCCAGCCGACGCAGCGACCAGCAGGCCAAGCTGGCACGCAACCCCGCGTCCCGCGCTGCGGAGGCTCGGCCGGGCATAGGGCTTGCGATGGCGACCGCACTAGCAGCCTCGCGTAGGCGAGAGGACTTGCCGGAGTATGGTCAGCCAGATGGCAGCAGCCGATCGCCTAGACGCCAGCTTGGTTATGCTGGCCAGTGGGATGAGGAGGAGACTGGTGGGTCGTCGCCGCGTTCGTCGTCGTCGAGGCGGGGGAGTTCGGAGGAGAGAAGAGGCGAGCTGACCTGCCGCCTTTCGCACGCGGCCTCCAGGCCACTGGCCGAGGAGGCATGCCCGAGGCTTCAGTGTCGGCCAGCGTTGATCCTGTGTTTTCGCATGGGGCTCCAGCGAGCTCTGCCGGCTTTAGTGCGCTGGAAGCCCCCTCGGCTGGTGCGCAGCCAGGCCCCGCGAGGCGAGAGAAGAAGCGCGCTGCCAAGCTTGCTGCCAGCGCTGCAAGCAATAGTGTTGCAGGCCCTCTGGCTGACGGCGCGTCCGTTTGTCAGCGTCTCGGTCCCGAGCTGCCTGCCCAGTGGATCCCCAGCCGGCCGCGGCCGGCGACAGGCAAGAGGTGGGAGAGCATCAGGGCCATCAGCTCTTTGTCAGAACGCCGTTCACGGTTTGCAGACGGCGCGGTGCGTATGCTCGAAGGCAGGGTAAGTTGCTGGGCGCTGAATGCACAGGGGACCTGCCTGCGGTGCATCTGTGTAAGTCCCAGGCAGAGAAGATGCGATCGAGGCGTCGTGATCGCCTCGTAGAGGGTCTCCACCCTGGCACGCGGCAGCCCCGGGCCTAGGGTCGGGGACGACCGAGGCGCGAGTCAGATCGCACACACAGGAACACACAGGAGCACGGCAGAACAAGCAGGAGCGCGGCAGAACACACAGGATCACGGCAGTACGCATAGGAAGCACATATAACATCGATTCACACAGCCGCACCCACAGGTTAACGCACATAGGCGTATGCACACAGGCACACGCACACGCACACACAGACACATACACACGCACACACACACACGCACGCACAGAGAGGCAACATACATTCACGCAGACTGCAGGAGCACGGCAAAGCGACATGGCATAACATAGCAGTGCCGCAGATTACCATGCACGGACACACATGCACATATTCCACGTGCGCACGCGCAAACGCACGCACGCCACGACATATTTGCGCGGGAGACCAACAACAGAGCAGACTTCACATATCTAGTGGACAAAAGCTGCGCTTCCTTTTCTTCCCTGGTCAGGTCTGCAACATATCTGACCACTTCTTGCTAATATGTGGTGGCGGGTGCGGCGGGAGTGAGGGTTAGCGGATCACCCAAACCAGCGATTTCGCTTGATACACTCTCACACACCTTAGATCTTAGCGATATCGCGTCTACCAACCATAAGCGTTTCGCTGGAGACATCATCGAAAAACTGATCGCCGCGGCATTCACTAATATGTAACCATTTGCGTTTCGCCTGAGACATCCTAGCCCAAATGAAGTGTCGACGGAGGTGTACTACTACCTCGGTTGTTGAAAACTACGTTTTCGCCAAATATTTCCTCCGAAAATGAGAGGCAGCACGGCGGACCAGAAAAAGGAGCACGGCAGGAACTTTGAGTTCCGTTGGGGGCAACCTCGAACAATTGAGATGTTGTCAACATTGTATTGCTATCTATCTTGCGGTGCTTAAAGAGGAAGGAATGAGAGCCCAACAAGGACATCAATATGGCTCCAAGAACGCCGTGATGGCTGCCGGAAATGACGGTTCGCTAGGGACATCCACACACCATGGAAAACATACAACATCATCGTTTTGAAAATTGCTGTTCTAACATCGTCTTGGGATCACTCTTGAAATGTCTTCCAGACGGCCCAAGCCAGGCTTCTAACACTGACGCTCTCGCTAGGGACATCCTCGAACAAGGGATGTGTGTGACATCGCAATGACATCGTTTTTGATGGCATCGAAACGGCCCCGGGCGAGCCCCACACGAGCCCCAACGTGACCCCACGAACGCCCTCGATATTCCTCAACATGCGCACGGCGCTAGATACATCCCAACATAATGGGTTGCTTGCAACACTATCATTCACAAAAACCAGCATTTCGCCGGAAACATGCACCAGACAATGAAAACCGCGAATTAAGCACACGTATGGCCATGGGGATGTTGTTGCCTGAGACATCTTCGAACAAAGGATATGTCGGAGCATCTGATTTAAGACCATGCATATTTAAACTGAGCTGCTCGCCTGAGACATCTTCAGAACATCGGCAGGATCACGGCAGCCCAACACGCAGGAACACGGCATAACGCACAGGGACACGGCAGAAAACACAGGAGCGCGGCAGAATACACAGCAGCACGGCAGAACCCAAAGAACACACGGGAGCACGGCAGAACACACAGGAACACAGCAACACACACAGGAGCACGGCTGAACACACAGAAGCACGAGGCGCACTGCAGAACACATAATACATAGGAGCACGGCAGAACACACAGGAGCACGCCAGAACACGCAGGTGCACGGCAGAACACGCAGGAACACGGCATAACACATATAACATCGATTCACACAGCCGCTTGCACAGGCACACGCTCACATAGGCACACGCGCACAGGCACATGCACACGCACACGCACACACTTACACAGACATACAGACACGCACAAACGCACACACACAGAGGAGCAACATACGTTCACGCAGACCGCATGAGCACGGCAGAACACACAGGTGCACGGCAGTACGCATAGGAGCACGGCAGAGCACATAGGTGCACACAATAATTGACGGCATAACCCGCAAGAGAGCGGCAGAACACACAGGAACACGGTAGAACGCACAGGAGCTCGGCAGATCACACAAAACACAGGAACACGGCAGAACAAGCAGCAGCACGGCAGAACACGCAGGAAAACGGCAGAACACACAGGAGCGTATCCGTAGCCATTTTGGCTCAAGCCTGCCTTGGGCGCCAGGCGGGCGGCAGCGTTGGGTCCTGCGCTTCTCGCTTGCTCAGGGGGAAGCGTTATCCTCTTGCCGCGGCCATGGCCCAGGCGGTGGCTACGGTCCCGCCCCCGCGGGGGGGCGAGCGCAGGCTGCTGGCGGCGATGGCGCCGCTCGTGCAGGCCGCAGCGCATGGGGCAGCGGCTGGAGGCGGCACCCGCCAGGTGGTGGCGGCCGCGGCGGCGGCGGCCATCCGCGCGTGCGCGGAGGTGCTGGCTGAAGGCGATAGCGACGACGGCGAGATCGACAAGGAGGTGGCAGTGCGCGAGGAGCTCGCACGGCCGCACCTGCGGCTCCACGTCGCCGCTGGGCGCCATGGGGCGCGGGCCCAGCCCTCTGGGGCCTGCCGCGCATTCCGCCACTGGGCGCTCCACGCGGGCTTCGGGGGCGGGGCGGCGGCGGCGCCTGCGACGGCGGCGGAGGCCAAGAGGCGCATCCGATGCCGTGGCGGCCTGGAGAGGGACCCGCCGCCTGCAGGCACGCTGGGGCTGGAGGGCAGCAGCGGGGACTCCTTTTCCGAGGACGCGTCGGAGGTGCCGAACGTGCTGAGCGAGAATGGGGAGATGAAGGACATCGAGGGCGCCCCAAACTGCAAGGCCACGGATGAGCTGAAGGAGAGGTCCTTGCTTAAGCCAGTGGCGAAGCGGATGGGGGTGCCGACGGAAAAGGCCAGCGAGTACGCCCCAGACACCAAGGGTGAGAAGGTGGGGGTGCTGGTCTCGGACATGAGCGTTGGAGACGTGCTGGGCCTGGGTGACACTCGCATCTGCAAGGGGAAGTTCCGGTGCGACCCCGAGAAGCAGAAGGAGCTGAGGAAGCAGGGCGCGCTGGTCGGGGGCACGGTCGACAACAGCGCGGAGGCTTGCGCGCAGGACTGGTTCATCGGGGAGCTGTCCGTCGAGGTGGGCACGCAGGCGGTGGACCAGGTCGAGGGCGAGGGGCAGCAGCAAGGCGTCGGCTCCGTCAAGAGCGACGCTGACCGAGTGCCGCCCCTCGAGCACGCGCGGGAGGTCAAGGTCGATGCGCAGGAGCGGCTGGCTGCGGCCGTGGCGGCCCAGGCGGCAATCCTGAGCGGCGATCTGGCCGAGGGGCTGCGGTTGCTCGAGGCGGCTCAGGTCTTCGGCCAGGCTGAGTGAGGCGTGCAGTTGCGTTCTGCATGTAGATCTGGTCTCGCCTCGGTGGGTGGGGTGGGGTGGGGGGGGGGGGGGCGTCTGAGGCGGATTGTCCCTTCCGCCTGCCCAGGCCCGAAGTGGCCGCCCCGTTTTGGCGTCGTAGGGGTTTCCCTTTTGCTTTGAAGGCCCCGTCTTTAATTTTAACTTTAACGCACAGGAGCACGGCAGAACATCTAGGAGCACGGCAGGGTTGGACCATGGCAGAACACACAGGGGCACGGCAGAACACACAGGAGCACATCCGTTGCCATTTTGGCTCAAGGCCGTGCTCCGGCGCGCGCCGCGCGCGGGCGCTTGGGCAGAATGGTGCGGGAGGTGCTCTCACCGGCGTCGCGGCGCCCCGATGGGCGGCAGACAACCAGGTGAGACGGCTGGACAGGGAGCTGCGGGAGGCGAAGGCGGTCATCGCCAGCCTCCGCGCGCAGCTGGAGTGTGGGTCGCGTGGCGACGCCGCGGAGGCGGAAGCCCTCCGCCGCGAAGCCATCGCGCGGCCCGCCTTGGTGGCGCGCGTCCGCGGACGCCGCGAGACCAGGGCGCAGCGGCAGAGGCGCAACGTCGCGTGGCATGCCGAGCACTGAGCGTCGGCCGACGCCCCGCCGCAGGCGTGGCGCAGCGCTCAGCGCGGGCCTCGCGGCCCCGCTGCGTTCTGGCGCCCAGCCGTGCCTTCCCCAGTGGGCGCGCTGGGCCGCGCTGCTGGAGGAGCTCGGCGCGGCGCAGCTGGCCGAGCAGGGCCCCGGCGAGGACGGCGCCGGGTGCACCGAGGCGGTAGAGACCGACGCGACGGTTCTGGCGAGCCCGCCTGGCGACGCGGTGGAGCTCATGGCCGGCGGCTCCGAGGTTGACCCCGAGGAGCAGGGCGAGTCCGAGGGGGGCGACGCGGCGCCCGCGCCGCGCGGGCTGCTCGGCGACAGGAGGGCCAGCGAGCTGAGCGGAGCTGTTCCTGTCGGGCAAGGGTGTGCGAGGGTCAAGCGGGTATCCTTCGCTCCGTGGCCCGACGTCACCGCCTTGGAGGTGGGGGCCCTGGGAGGCCCGCTCGGTGTGGCAAGGGCCCTTCGGCATGGCCCTATCCCGCAGTGGGCGGGCCCGGCTTGGGCGAGCCAGGCGAAGGCCGTCGACCTGATGCACCTCTGCGAGTGCGAGAGGTTCGGCATCTCCGCGAGGCCTCGTCGGCGACCCACCTGGAGAGTGCGTTTCGCCGAGGGGCCTGGGCGTGAGGGGCCCGTGGCCGTGGGCGCTGGGGCGCCGCGGCCGCCGCCCGTGGCCGTCGTGGAGGAGCCCGCGGGAGGTTCGGCCATCGAGCACGCCGTCGGCATGGAGCCCCTGGTCGCGGACTCCGTCGGCTGCGCCGCGGGCGATGGCCACTCGGGCTCGGAGTGCGGGTTCGTTTCATTCCTGGGCGACTTCTCGGCGGCGGCGGTGGCGCGTGCGGCCCAGGGGCCGATGTCGGGAGTTCAGTCGCACCTGGACTGGGCCGAGGCCCGCGCCTTCGGCTTCCGCCTCGGCAGTGCAGGTTGTCCAGATGCCGAGGAGCGCGCGCGCGTGCGCGGCTCCTCGATGGTCTTTTGGCCCGCGCGCGTTGCGCGACGCGGCCCGAGAGTAATGCGCGGGGCGGGCGCTTGTATTCTGCATGTAGATATGTTCTCGCCTTGTGGCGCGGCCGCGGTGGAGGCCCAGTGCGGCCCCCGCCGGGAGAGGCGGCCCTGGGCGGCCCCTCTCGGGAGGGTGAGCCGCAGTGTGCGCCGCCGTCTGGCGTAGCGCGGCCGCCGTCCGTGAATGAGTGGAGGATTAGCATTGGTGAGGCTCGCGCCTGTTGTTCCCTGTGGTGGGCAGGCCCGCGCAGCCCTCAGTGCTCTCTGGGGCTCGGCTTCTTTCGGGAACTCTGTCCCGTCTGGCCCTGCCCGTGCGCTGGTTAGGCACATCCCTACGCCTTGAAGGCCCCATCTTTAACTGTAATTTTAACACACAGGAGCACGGCACAACACACAGGTGCACGGCAGACCACGCAGGAGCACGGCAGAACACATATAACATCGATTCACACAGCCGCACCCGCAGACACACGCACATAGGCACACGCACACAGGCACAGGCACACGCACACGCAGACACAGACACATACATACACGCACAAAAACGCACGCACAGGGAGGCAACATACGTTCACGCAGGCTAACACAGCAGTGCCGCAGACCACCACGCACGGACACGCATGCACATGTTCCACGCGCGCACGCGCAAACGCACGCACGCCACGACATATCTGTGCGGGAAACCAACAAAAGAGCATATTTCACATACCTAGTGGACAAAAGCGACGCTTCCTGTTCTTGTCCGGTCAGGTTCTTTGTTCCACAAAGACTGCAGAAATGAGGGCCGGTAGATAGCTTGGGAATCTTGAAATGCATTCTGAGCCAATCTTATCATGACAGTAATTCCGTTCTACTAGGCACCAGCACCAAGGTCGTCACGACACGAGCGTGCCGTGCATGCCCTCGTGCGCGGGGTGCTTCGCCTATGTGGCAACCAGTCTCCCAGAGCAGATCCCCAGGCCCCTCCCGGAGCCCATCCTGGCAGGCTCTCCGAGCCGCCCGCGTCTGGCCGTGGCAACGAGCAAAGCTCAAAATTGCGATCCCCGAGGTTCGGATATGGACATGGGTAGGGAAACCATGGGTACAAAGTCCAACAATTCTTATTCATTCTGAACTGGGTTCGCAGTCGGCGTCGCCGCGGCCGCTGTCCATTCGAGGCAGAAGGCCGCCTGCCCAACAACGGCCGCTGTCAGTTTGGGGCCAAAGTTGTTGTTGGGCATTGTACCCCTTTTTCCCGTACCCATTTCGGGCGTCCAAAAAGATCTTTCGCCGCGAACAGAAGTGCAACACTGCGATAGCGCACAACACTAATCTTGGACTCCGCCCTCCAGGGAGCCTGACGCCCAGTGTAATCCGATGCCGTCGTCGTTTGTCGTCGTCATCGCAGTCGCCCTCGCCCTCGCCCTCGCGTCGTCGTCGTCGTCGTCTCAGGGGACGTCGTCGTCGTCGATGACGATGTCGTCATAGTCGCCGAAGACAGCATCGTGTACTCGTGCTCCCCTGACCGACTCATTTCGGTGCCAGGCCTGCAGCGGCAGTTGCTGGGGCTCGCGCGCGTGACCGGGGCCACGTTGCAGGCCTTGCCCCCCAGCCCGTTGCCCCCCTCCTTTTCTGCCTTTCCCCTCCTCTCATTCCTCCTTCCTCCCCCCTTGGGCCAGGAGTTGCAGAGCAGTTTGGGGGGCCTCTGCATTACATTATGCTCCAGGAAGAGTAGCATCGGACGGGGCTAGGACGGGGATAAATCCGTTCCAGAGCGTTCGGGAACGCTCTCAGAGCGTTCCGAATGCTCTGAGAAGGCCGCGGCGCCCGAGACATCCTCCAGAGCCGCTGGAGCTCAGAGATTCTCGATTTCTCCTCACCCGAATTTGTCCTCGTCCTGGCTTCGGCTTACAGCAGCCTCTTCCCACTCGCCCACCCGTGCCTTCCCTCAACATGACGCCTGAGATCGAACCACTTCTTCCACCTGAGATAAACGAATGAAGTTTACTCCTCTTCCTCGTCGTACTCTTTCTCGTCGTCCTCGTTGTCGCCCTTCTCGTCCTCCTCATTTCCTTCTCGTCCTCGTCAGTCTCCTTTCCCTCCCTCCGTCCCCCGGGAATCCGCCTCTTCCCACCAGTGCCTTCCCAGCAACGGCGTCAGAGTGGCAGCGCGTAAGGCGCCGAGCTGGCGGGTAGAGGGTGGGGGTGGACGCTTCAGTAGTCCACCTGTCGCTCTCAGCGAGCGTCGGCTTGACGTCTTCGTGCGCTGTCGTAGACTGGCGCTAAGTCGGGCACGTCCCTGTAAAGGATGACTAATCAAGAATAGTAAACAATGAGTCTGATGACGATTGTTCGAAGTCTGTAGGATTGCCTTACGTGCGCACGCCTACCTGCAAAGTGGGCAGTGGGATTGGCGAGATCCAGATGGAGCAGCTCCAAGGCTCAACCCTCTGAGCGGCCAGGGCCGCCACGCGCCCGTTGTTACAGTGGGTGCGCGTGTACTCTAGGCTGCCCGGGTGGGGCATCGAGTAGATGGGGTCGGGGGATCGCGCTGCATCGCCGATGCGGAGCCTGATTTTCGCCACGCCGACGGCGGCGATGCATCGCCGGCGTCGCATCGGCGATGCCGCGCTTTGCCCGGGCCCCTGGGTGTTCAGGTTCAGAGAGATCTGCAACGGTAGACCCAGGATGCCCACATCCTGAGTCCATCAGTGTCCTGTGGTCTCAGGGTGTGTGTGTGTGTGTGTGTGTGTGTGTGTGTGTGTCTTACGGAGGTTTCTGGTGGCCGATCTCTTGCTGCAGTCGGCCGTTCTCCTACCGGGGGCGTTCCGCGCGCAGGTCCGCCCTCAGAGCTGGGCGCCGCCAGACAAGTTTTTCTGACGGCGGACTGTTCCGCAGCTTCGGCCACAGCCCATTCGTTCTTGTGCCTTCCTCCTCCTCCTCCCCTTTCTTCTCCTCCTCATCCTCCTCCTCATCCTTACCTCCCCACTTGAAGAGCCCCCCACTTTTTCACGGAGGGGCGCCGTCAAAAAAGGGTTCAAGACAAGGCGGTCCTGCGGAAGGGGGGAGACCTTTAGGATCCACGTCGTGAAGCAATCAAGACGTCGGTAGTCTGGGTCCTCTCATCCCTCCTCCGTCCTCTTTCCTCCCTCCCCCCCTTCTTTCCCTCCTCTCCCCTCCCACATCCTGCGTTACAGCTTCCAGGTACCTGTCTGTCCTGTAGATGTTGGATTGTGTTTGATGCGGATTCGATGCTGAGTCGGCATTGATTCGACATGGGTTCGACGCGGATCCGACATGCATTCGACGCGGACTTGATGCGAATCGGAACGCGATGGCACAGCCAAAGGTTGTTCCATCCCACTCGAGATCCTCGAGATCTTGGATTCCCGAGATCATCGAGATCCTGGGAGACACCGATCTCTTGACTCCCCTCCTCTCGAAGAGGAAACAGCTGCATTAAACACAACCTTTTAGAGGTCTGCGCGGGTTTCTTGGATCTGCGCTGGACCTCCCCTGGCGGGCGGTGCGCGCCAGGGGCTGCACCAGCAAGGAACCCGCGCGAGGCTCCTATTTATACAGCTGTTTTCTCTTCGAGAGGAGGGTAGTGCAGGGATCGAGGGCTCTCGACGATCCAGGGGATCAAGGGCTCAGAGGAGATCGGCAGTTCTTTGCGTTCCTCGATTGTCCCCATCGACGATCCCACGACTTGCCCTTGCTCCTCCTCTTCCTCCTCTTCCTCCCCCATCCCTCGTCCTCATGGGCAACTCATCCCCGTCGCTCCCACTCCCACCCCACTCCTCCGTCCTCTCGCTCCTCGGGCTCCCACTCCCGCTCCACTCCTCCTCTATCCTCTCGCTCCACTCGCTCCCTCCACGCCACTGGCCCCCACTCCCTTTCCCGCTCCTCACCAGGTCAACGACCGAGGGGAGCTGCTCTTCGAGTTCCCCGCGGAGCCCCCCGGCGCGCGCGGCGCGGGCAGGCGGGCGGTCCCGGGCCGTCTTGGTTGTTGCCCCCCCCCCCTCCCTTGCGCGCTGGCAGGAGGTCGCGCGGTCGGACTCGGGCACAGTAGTCCTCGGAGGAGGGCGAGGTTCCGAGGAGGAAAAGGTGCTCGTCGGTCGTTGAACATGTGTATTTTGGGAATCCTAGATCCCAATCTACTTCTAGCGCCTGCCTGCTTCAATCATCGATATGCTCCTACTGCGTGTTGTTCTCTGGGAGGGCCTGAACCCAACCTACTTGATCCGCCTTCCTACTTTTTCCCCACATCCAAAGTGGGGTTCTTGTTTTCTCTGTACACGCCGCGCATGATCTCACACCCCCCCTTTCCTCTCTCTCTCTCTCTCTCTCTCACACACACACTCACCATCATCACCATCATCATCACCATCAACCACCATCATTGTCATCACACGCACACGCTCATCATCATTACCATCATCATCACCATCAACCACCATCACCGTCACCACTCCTCATAATCAATTACTCACTCATCCTCAGTAGGCTTTGGAGGCAGTGGTCCTCCGACGGTAGGACCGCCGCCTCTCTCAACATCATCGTCACCATCACCATCATCATCTCTCGATCACCCACTCACTGGTCATCATCATCATCATCATCATCATCATCATCATCATCATCATCATCATCATCATCATCATCATCATCATCATCATCATCATCATCATCATCACTCACTCATCACTCATTCATCATCAGCACTCACTGTCTTATCACTTCGTCATCAATCACTCCCTAGGTTGCATACGGAGGAAATATCAGGCGGGAGCCTCGTCGGTGAGTGAATTGCGAGGAAGTCTCAGGCGGGAGCCCCCTCCCTATGGGGCCCGCATTTCATGTTGGTAGTCCGAGCGGGTCATCCGAAACGTGTAACTGTCGTCACTTTTGGGCTCTTGAGGCCTGAATAGCGAGGAGGTCTCAGGCGGGAGCCCCCTCCCTATGGGGCCCGCCCGCACTTCATGTTGGTAATCCGACCGGGTCATCCGAAACGTGTAACTGTCGTCACTTTTTGGCTCCTGAGGCTTGAATATGGAGGAACTATCATGCGGGAGCCTCGTTTGTGAGTGAATTGCGAGGAAGTCTCAGGCGGGAGCCCCCTCCCTTTGGGCTTGCATTTCATGTTGGTAATCCGAGCGGGTCATCCGAAACGTGTAACTGTCGTCACTTTTGGGCTCTTGAGGCCTGAATATGGAGGAAGTATCAGGCGGGAGCCTCGTCTGTGAGTGAATTGCGAGGAAGTCTCCGGCGGGAGCCCCCTCCCTATGGGGCCCGCAGATCATGTTACGAATCCGAGCGGGTCATCCTGAAACTTGTAACTGTCGTCACTTTTGGGCTCCTGAGGCTTGAATATGAAAGAAGTATCGCGCGGGCGCCTCGTCTGTGAGTGAATTGTGAGGAAGTCTCAGGCGGGAGCCCCCTCCCCATGGGGCCCGCAGGTCACGTCGGCGCAGGACAACGGCGCCATGATGGTCGTGGCCTTGTCGAACGCGCAGGCGAAGAACATCTCCACGGAGACTGTGAAGGCTAGAGCGCTGCACAACGCCTGTGCCCTGCGAGTCCAGAAGTACATCAACGCGAAGATGAGGCCGGGGGGCATGCAGAAGAGGCTGAAGTGGTTGTGGGAGCACGTCCGCGTACTTGTCATCGAGGAGGTGAGCATGGTGGCGGCTGCTCTGTACAACGCGCTGGACCTTCGCGCTTGCCACGGACGCAGCGACGCGCATGACGTGCAGGAGTCCACCTACAAGAGGCCGCATCACCACTTCGGGCGCGTCCTCATCGTGCTGCACCTCGGCGA